TATATGGCTAATATGCTAAGTGTCTGACCGTCAGACCAGTCACTATGATGCCCACTGACCAGCAGGGGGCAGACGCTCAACACAGAAGCTGCTGTGGCGCACACTGGCCATTTACAGAGAAATGGCACTATGGACCTGGCACCCACAAAGCAACACTCGGCTTCCCCAAAGTGGGACACAGGCCCTGCCACCACCCCGGAGCAACATCCCACCAAATTGTAGCCAATGCTGCCAAGACCCCATGGGGCGAAATGCGGCCCACAGCCCAGCCCAGCCCAGAAACAGTCACTGTGGGTGCCAGGTAATGACATAACATAGTAACGCCTGGCTTCCTCTCCCTAGTGACTAGCCTCCTTGGAGTTTCTTCAGCTCAGGAACATGACTTGCTTTATAACCAGGTGCAAACATTTTACAGTTTAACCAAATGTCTGTGAAATGTTTTCACATGCCTCATCTCATTTGATCCTCACAGAAGTCCTGGAGTAGGTAGATAGGAGACTCAATAGAATCCTATTTTCTTTTCATTAGCCAGAAAATTGAGATTTAGGAAGTTTAGAAACTGAACTTAGAAAGTTTAGAAACCAACTGAAAAGAAATAAGAAATGGTGGACTTTCAAAATGACTTCAGGTTTTCTCACTGCAGAATATAGTCAAACACTGCTGTAATTAAATATTTCACCCTTTGTTCTCCCTGCGTGATATACAATAATCTGCTTCATGTTGATATTTACTGCTGTGTTGCTGACAGTTACCTGAAAGAGAGGTTGGGGTGCTTTGCTGGGCTGGAAAAAGTTTAGCTAAATCAGAAAGCAGGTCTAATTAAGCAAATATATATATACATACACACACACACACACACACACACACACACATATACTAGTGGCCCAGTGCATGAAATTTGTGCACATTAAAAGGGAATTAATTACAGGAAATATTTTAATATTGCTATTTGCCCTTTCTCTATTTTTTTTTCTTTTTTTTTTTAAAATATATATTTTATTGATTTTTTACAGAGAGGAAGGGAGAGAGAGATAGAGAGTTAGAGACATCGATGAGAGAGAAACATCGATCAGCTGCCTCCTGCACATCTCCTACTGGGGATGTGCCCGCAACCCAGGTACATGCCCTTGACCGGAATCGAACCTGGGACCTTTCAGTCCGCAGGCCGACGCTCTATCCACTGAGCCAAACCGGTTCTGGCTGCCCTTTCTCTATTATAGAAGTATCAGAGATGAAAGAAAATTAGTAAAATGTATATGAAAATCTTCCTCCTATCAGAGTCTGGGGCACGCTGCGGGACCCAGAGTCAAGTCCCCACCCACCCATGTGCACCTCGAAATTGCACAAGACCCTGACCCGGCCGGCCCCACCCCTGTCAAGCCCCACCGGCGGGGAGGGGGTGCAGCCTCAGGTCCCCCGGTGCATCCTCAGGTCCCCCAGCCCAGTGCTGGGGCGGGGGGCGCGGCCTGAGGTCCCCCGTCAAGCCCCACCAGACGGGAGCGCAGCCTCAGGTCCCTGCTGATCGCTCATTATGGCTTGTGTTACGGGAACCCTGCCTCTGCTGTGGGCGCAGCCATCTTGTGGCGATGTGATGGAGTGAGGGTCAATTTGCATATTACCACTTTATTATATAAGATAAAGCTCTTGCTGGCGCCAACCACACATGTGTGTTTCCATCTGTCATTGTCCATCGTGAATTTGGACAATAATATCGCTATTCACCCTTTCTCTATAATTTCTATTATAGAGAAAGGGTGAATGGCGATATTAAAATATTTCTTCTAATTAATTTCCTTTCAATGTGAACAAATTCATGCACCGGGCCTCTAGTTCAACCATAAAAAGGAATGAAATACTGATACATGCTGTAATGTGCATGAGCTTTGAAAATACTATGCTAAGTGAAATAAGCCAGCCTTAAAAGACCAACTATTGCATTTGTATGAAATGTTCCAAATTGGCAAATCTAATGGAGACAGAAAGTATATGAGTGATTGCCTAGGGCTGGGTGGGCAGAGGGTAGAATTGAGAAGTAATGGCTAAGGAGTACGAGGTTTCTCTTTGGGGTGATGAAACTGTTCTAAAATTGTGATGATGGTTACACAACACTGAATATACTAAAAACCACTGATTGTATACTCTAAATGGACAAACTAAAAATCAAACAAAGATGAAAGGGGTACCTGAGATACCCGAGCACAGAGAAGTTGTAGCAGGCCCAGGGATGAGCAGACACAGCAGTGTGTGCTGGGCGCTGGGCTTCCTGGGAGCCAGCGAGAGTGGGTTTCTACTGGGAAGGGAAGAGAAAACACAGAGTTGGTTCCCCTTCTCTGTGATTATCTATTCAGATAAGGAAACATAATCACCTTTGATTTAGATGATAATAAATGGCAGGCATTCTCCTGACATAACAGACGGAGGAAACCTACCAAAATAGCAAGTTTTCTTTTCGACCACTGACATGCAGGACGTTTTAAGATACCCTTTGTCTCCAGTAAGGCTGAGGGACCAGGTTGCCCTAACCGCCCATTCGGGATGCAGACTTCATGGTACAGCCTTTGCCGGTCACTTACAAAGTTGCCACCCAATGATCAAAGATAAAGCATGTTAACGTAAAAAACCGTTGAAACCTGTAAAGAATTTTTGTGAGTTTATTTGAGCCAAACTGTCGACATATGCCAGGAAGCAGAACCTCGATGAATTGAGATAAGGCTCTGGAGCAGCGGTTCTCAACCTGTGGGTCGCGACCCCTTTGGGGGTTGAAAGACCCTTTCACAGGGGTCGCCTAAGACCATCGGAAAACGCATATATAATTACATATTGTTTTTGTGATTAATCACATGCTTTAATTTTGTTTAATTTGTGACAATGAAAATACATCCTGCATATGAGATATTTACATTACGATTCATAACAGTAGCAAAATTACAGTTATGAAGTAGCAACGAAAATAATTTTATGGTGGGGGGGTCACCACAACATGAGGAACTGTATCAAAGGGTCGAGGCATTAGGAAGGTTGAGAACCACTGCTCTGGAGAATGGCGGGTTATATCTGTATTTATACATTGCAATCAAAGGAAAGGGATGTAGGTGGGTTACATGAAACCCATTGGTGATAGACTAGAGAGGTAGGAGAAAGCAAAGCAGGGAAACCCCTTGGATTGGATAAAAAGTAAAATGATAGACACATACTTAGGTGGGTGCAGGAACAATGAACATGATAATGAAGGAATATGTGGTATCTGTCTTGGAGTCCAGGCACATTGGGTTGTGCCCCAAGGGGTCCAGAAATAGGGAAGTTACAAGTTACCCAGACATTTCAAGGGTATGTTATTATAGATGCAAAAAGACAGATAGGCTAAGTTAAGGTAAAGGTTGACCTTGTCAGTGAAGATACTGGCCTAGGACGTAACTGCCCACCATAACTGCTTTTAGTTAAAGTTTAATTTCAGACTATCCTTTGTGGTTACTTTAGGTCTCTGAGTTTGCAAGACTGCCATGCAGGCCTCCCCTGAGCTTGTCAGGTCAGCATGTGGCCCCTTTCGTCCACAAGTATGAGCGAAATAAAATCCTGGGGCTGAGACTAGGAGCTGGAGAGAGAAACCCTGGGTGCTCAAGGGGACATAAGCCCCCTGTGTGCTAAGTGCCCGGTACCGGGGAGTGTAACCATGGGGGAAGGACCTTGTGACTATTGGTCACTGGAAAGGAAGGCTAGCTGTGAATAAGTAAGCCATTGTGTGAGACCAGGTGCCCCACCCTCCGGGGCAGCACAGTGGCAGGCCTATTCAGAATTTGCAGGAGGAACAACACCTAAGCCACACACTGTACATTTGCTTTTATGACCGCGAGTTGCTTTGTGCTTTCCCAAGAACATTTGCTTATAGGAAAATGAGGTAGAAGGAAGAAAAGTCCAGGGTACATATGGGTAAAAATGTCTAGTACAGTGATGGTGAACCTATGACACGAGTGTCAGAGGTGACACGCGAACTCATTTTTTTGGTTGATTTTTCTTTGTTAAATGGCATTTAAATATATAAAATAAATACCAAAAATATAAGTCTTTGTTTTACTATGGTTGCAAATATCAAAAAATTTCTATATGTGACACAGCACCAGAGTTAAGTTAGGGTTTTTCAAAATGCTGACACGCCGAGCTCAAAAGGTTCGCCATCACTGGTCTAGTACGTAGGTGACTACCGTATTCCAACAATTTCCAGTGACCTCTCACACGTAGGGGACTTGCCCCAGGGTTTCCCTGACCCACTGACACGAGACGTGTAGGTGTATAAATAGGTGGCTTTTTTTGCAAACAAGACATCCTGGTTTTATGGTTTGTGAAGTAGCTTCATGTGGTAGAAGAGCACTAGCCAGGGCGTTGGACGGCCTTGGTTCTAGTCCCAGCTTTGTTAGTAGCGAGATGTAGCCCGGGGAGCAAGTCTCATCTCTCCGCCAGCCAGAGGTGCCCCATCCCCAGAGCTCCTGTTCTAATAAATCTGCATGAGACCTAGAAGCTCCGTGTGCACTGTGGTGCTCCCGCTGGCCGGAACCAGCCGCCGAAGGCCTTTCCTCCGACTCATGGCTCCCGCTGCCTTCACGATGCGCCGGTCTGTCCGCAGGATGGTCTGAGTCAGCTCTCTGGCAGCTCTCGGAGAGGTCTGCCATGGTCCCCTGGGCCTCCTAGGTTGGAGGGGGTTTTGCATCTTTTCTTATACCTAATTGCATTTTCACTTGTTTGGGGCAAATACTAAAGATAATAACAGTAATGACATTCCTGGGTAGGCAGCTACAAAGAAATATAGTGGTAGCTTTAGGTCTAATTTACCTTGTAAAATGCTAGATGGTGCTTTCACAAATGCCTTTTTTTTTTTTAACAAAATGTATTCATTTAAATTTTCAAATATTTTTTTTACCCCACAGAAAGAATAAAAATGACATAAGCAAACTCATCTTCAAAAGTGGAGATTTCCAAATGTCCCCATACGCTGAGTACCCCAAGAACCCTCGCTCGCAGGAATGGGGCCGAGAAGCTATTGAGATGCATGAGAACGGAAGCACCAAAAACCTCCTCCAGATGACGGACGTGTATTACTCGGTGTGTATTCCGTGTCCAGGGGGCCCGCAGGCTCTGGTTCCCTCTGAGAATTAAAGGGATTCTGTTTGGCTGTAGTCAAAGCACTACAGCTAGTTACAGGTGACAGGGAATGATGGCCTAAGCACCGTAGGGACAGAATTTAATTTTCAGTTCACTTATGACCTATTTGCATGTTAGTTATTGGGTGAGATATGAAGGCTGTTTCCACAGAGCACATTGCCTTTATGGGATGGTAGCAGGAGCCGTCTTGTTATGAACCTTGCTTTTAAGTTATAGGATTGGATACTGAAAGATAGAGAAATGATACTTAGCCTTTGGCCCTTTCCTTTTTATCTCTTGTCTGCCCCACCTTACCTCATGTCATTGGGTAATCGAAACTGAGGGGTTGGAGAAAGGTATAAAGAGAGCAATATAACCTCATCCACCACCAGCACTTCTCAGAGGTTTCGAAGATATATTTAGTAGGTGTTTAATAATTTGCTCTGCCCAGCCCTGGACTGTGTCACTCGGACAGATGGGACACGCCCTGCAACCCTTGCTTCTTCTGTCCCACAGCGAGGAATCCATGTCATATTTCCAGGCACTGCTCAGTTCATTTCACATCACACTGCATCAGCCATAAAGCAAACACATAAAGCCGAAAAATAAATAGATGTCAGGTGACTTCTCACACCATGTTGGAGCGGTAGCAATAAACATGCACTCTGGCTCCATGGGGACTTAATACCACCAGGCAATCCTGTGACAGAAACCACAACCCCTCTGGTTGCTATGGGGACTAACCATGGGGGTTCAGACTTTGGATGGGAAGGGCAAGTTTGTTTATGGTAAGAAAGCGATTGCTTCCATGGGCTCTTTGAAAAATTTAAACCTGGAGGAAGAACGAGAAGACCCAGAGGAAAGATTAACGTAGACACAAACTTAGCTCTGGCTCAAATGGTTTTGTTGGTATTTCTGCATAAAGGGTTTGTTTTGTTTTCCGTTTGTCAGGAAAGTTCTTTTGCTCTAATAACTGAAGGCATAGCTAAGCAGGTGTCTTCCCCAGGAGCGACCGGTGACCACACACTCACAGATTTGCTAGGGTCTCCTCAACCCCGGTGTGGTGTGACAACCTAGCAACAAACAGGCCTGCAGAGTCATAGGACCCAACTGTGCCTTCATGGCCTTAGCTAAAGAATTGCCTTCAATAGAGACGATCGAGAACTTAAATGAGCACCATCTGCATTTCAAAGATAGGCTGAGCACTCTGTGGCAGCAGAGCCCGGCCACGGCCACGGCATGAAGCTGTCACCCGTGTGAGTGCTGTCGCTCACCACGGTCTCGCGTGTGCCGCGGGCGTCCCCAGGACTTGCGTTTGTTATGTGCAGTACCTGTGTTTTATTTCTGCCAGGCAAGCCTTCTTCCCCAGCTCCGACAGGGGTTCAGACGACCCTTCACCCAGTGAGTCCAGCTAAATGCCAGAGAGGATTAAAGCTGCTGTGCTCCACAGAGAAAGACACTCTTTTAAAAGGTCAAGTTAATAATCAGATAATAATTAATCTGGATAATAGTAAAGATAACAGTTAACCCAGGTCTTTTCCTATGTTGGTATAAAATCACTGGACTGCCCTTGGTCGAAGTTTTTTCCATAAAGAGCCAGCCTGGGGGAGGGCCCTGGTTTCTAGGTTAGACTTTGCTGAGTATTAGCTGAGGTTTATAATAATGCAGCATTCTCTCTCTCTCTCTTTTTTTTACTATTAAATTTAAACCATGAATAATAAATGGCCCTTTTTTCCTTTTCTCTCTGGCCTCCAGCCCACAAACGTAAGGAATCCTGAACTTGAACGAAATGGACTCTACCCGGCCTACACTGGATTGCCGGGCTCCCGGCATTCTTGCATTTTCCCGGGACAGTACAACCCGTCTTTCATCAGTGATGAGAGCAGGAGAAGAGACTACTTTTAAGTGAGAAGAGAGAGGAGCCCATTGCTCTGAGCGAGTGGCTGGGTCGGCTTTGCTCAGAGGACTGCACGGGGCCTGCAGGTGCTGCTCCCAGGACTGTGAGCCGCACTGGAGTGGCAGGCAGGAAGTGGGACGGGTGTGAGGGGCGAGGCCACAGTGGAAGGCCGCTCACTTGTTGTTACTGTGAATGTGCACATGGCCAGTACCAGGAGGTCTCGGCGCGACCGCGGCTCGGCCACTGGTTGCAGGGATGACGCCGGCTAGGGCAGCTCGTTGGGCACCACTGCAAGCACCGGGGTCTCCTTAGTTTGCACTTTAGTAAATTGGGTAGGGAGGTCTCCTTTTGGGTTTTTCCCAAGACTCCCAGAAAGAAGGCCTCGTTTCCCCAGATGCTTCCATGGGCCTCGATTTGGTGATTAATTTATAGCAAAATACTGGCTTGTTAGTTGTTTTCCTGCCCAGCACCGTGTGCTAAACAACAGGTGATGGTGATGAACATACCACTAAGGTCTGGAGATGCTGTAGGCTGTTGTACAATATTTTAATATGTTTCCAGGTCTTCTTGTGCTGCAGTCTCCAAGCCAACCCCCAGAATGAGAAATGGAAACGTGTGCGGCCCAGCCCACCACACCAGTTTGGTTTTTTAGTCAAGTTAACACCTGAAGTGAAGGTTACTTCTTCCCTTTGCAGTGAAAGCTCACTTTTTCAAACCAGCTGGGCCAGGGCAAAATGACTTCCATTTGGTTTTAGTTAGAGGCACCCAGCTGCCCTGCAGAGAGGCCCAGCAAGCCCCAGCCAGGCAGGGGCTGAGCGGAGGCCCGAGGAAGAGCGAGAGATGCAGGCGGTGGGGTGCTCTTCATCCCTGAGCACATGGCGTGGTGCCTGGGTGTCTGACCTTCGTCCTTGAGGCCGAGGCGGCTCCATGTGGAGTGGAAATGCTAAGCCGAATGCAGGTTGGGTGTGAGCTGGCATTTCACCACTAAAGGAAAAGCAGCGTGTGTAGTTTCGACAGCTGACTGTGGTTAGAGCAATGGGCTGAACGGGCCAGTCCATCGCCTGAAACCCCAGTGCTGTGGGAAGCCGGGCAGATTCCTGCGGAAGGAGAGCGAGCTGGGATGGAGCCACATGTAAGTCTGCTCACCTCCGATGCTGCACCTTTAACTGTTTCCCCGATCTCACCCACAAAGTCGGTATAAACTTTCAGCCCACTGCTCAGAACTATTTATTCACCGAAGAAGTAACTTATTTTCGCTCACCCAGTGATTTGCACTCTTTGTACTACTATGTAGTTTCCTCCAGAAACACGGCCCTAATTCAGGTCAGCATTGGAGAACAAAAGACTCTGGGGAGACGGGGGGGGTGAGAGTCGGCCTCTGGGAGGGAACGTCGGTGAGAGTCGGCCTCTGGGATGGAACGTCGCGCGTCTTATTTATCATGCCTGTGGCGTGGGGCCTGCGAGGGGCGTGTTCAGTGCTGTCTCTAACTGCTCCTTGTGGGGCTGTGATGATTCTGCTTTGATGCATCCTAGGTTTGGATGAAGTGGAGAACACAGAGGTAAAGAACTGGTCCCACCCGGAAGCTCAGAGCTCAGTGGAACCCATAGTGGGGACAGTTCTGTGCTGGGGCTGTTTCTTTAAGGTTCTCTAACCCCTTCAGATGTATCTAACTCTCACTCTTCTGTAGTCCTCAGCTTAACAGTTTTAAGTGCGAACTCCTGTGCCCCATGGTCTCCACGCGTCCTCACCCCCCCTGCAGCAGCAGGAGCCAGGAGCGCCAGCCGGGAGTGCGGCCTCCAGGTAGTTAAATTGCACTCATCTCATGAGCTAGATGCAGAGAGAATGCTGTTTTAGTCAGCAGGTGCCAACTTAAAGTCGCCTTTTTGAAATCTTGGCCCTTGCATCTGTCCGTGGAACCAGCCCTGTGCCCCGTGGCCTCACATCTAACTGGAGAGCTCCGAGCTCCTGCATCTGCTCGCCTGAGCCAACAGACTGAGTGGCCTGGCGCCCGGCTCTCAGTCAGATCTTGCTCCTCCCAGGACCCAGAGCCACGTGGGGGCGATTCTCAGGCGTGCCCCGCTGCCACCACAGCTGACAAGTCACCTCCTATATCTGGGCCGGAGCTGTGAGCTCCACAAAATGAAGTGTTCCACCCCAAACGCATTCTTGAGAGGAATCCAGAAAAGAATGTCCTGTGAGCTCCAAGAACACTTGCCTGTGAATGGGTTTTGTGCAGATGAAATGGATTAAGAATGTGTTTTTCTTTTACTGTGAAAAAAGCAGGCCCCCCGCAAGGTTGCGTTCAACTAGGGCGCTGCGATTGCTAGGAAGTGAGTGGGGGTGGGGAATGCCTCTCCAGGGCCTGAGGCTCTGAGAAGGCTTGCAGACAGCATGACCGTTAGCCGGTGCTGACTGCCCACCGGGGTGAGGACGGGAAAGGCTGGCTTCGCTCCTGGGTGGGGCTGGTACCTCCAGAAGAGTCTGTCTGCCAAGAGCAACACCTGCTAGGGCAGCAGCCGCCTCAACTGAAGGGACAGGATGGGACACACCCCTGGCAAACACACCCTCAGCCATGGCCCAGGTGCGCAGTGTCAGCCCCACACCTGGAATTCATAGAAATGCCCCAGCCCTGTATCCCTGGGTGGGCCCACAGCTGGGGGAGTGGGAGGAAGGGGAAAGGGACACTTAACTTGCCCATGAGACTCTTAAACTTTTTTAGGGAAGAGCAGGGCCGAATGGAACCCACCTGTCCCGTAGCATACCTGGGCAGGTAGCGTCTGTGGGTTTTGTGTAAGCTCTTAAGCAAAGGGTCTTTTTTCTCATGTCTTTTCCTCTTCGCCCCGTGAGCCAGCCCAGGACTCTAGAGACAACATGGGAAGTCTAAAGGGTCACATAGCATCTCTGGTGTTTCCTCCATGGCAGGCTCCGTGCAAGGTATTGGACCTCACGACACCCTTGCGAGGTGGGCACGAGAGCGCCTACTTCTTGGGTGTGGGAAACTTCAGAGAGGACAATTACCTTGCACAGCCGGGCTTCAGACCCTTTGCCTGGCTTGCTCTTCTCACTGTACCTCCCTGCCTCACCATCCAGTGTACTTTAAATGTAAAAGGGCATGGGAGAGTGAGTTTAAAGTGTGTTATCTTTTTGTAAAAGAACCTTAATGTTATTAAGCAGTAACTAATGACATGAAGTGCAAAAAAACAAACAAACAAAAAACCTATGTTGACTCCCCTTTTAAAAAAGTCCTTTCAGGTTTGTTATTACATGTATTTCTTGGACACTTGTCGTCATCATTAAGAAAATAGTGCTGGTTCATGCTTAGCACAGAGCATGTAGGTACGTGGCTTTGGGTGTAGGAGGTGTAAGGTGATGAGCGGGGTTTGGGACACACAGCCAGACTTAGCCGTCCACCTGAGGGCCACTCTGTCTTGTTCCCTCGCTAAGGCTGTGGCTCCCACATTTTGGAGGCACATTTTTGTGAATATTATCCGAGTCGGGAACATATTCAGTTGAATGTCTGAAACGCTGACAAATCTTCCAGCTTTGACAAAAGTTTATTTTCAGAAGCAGCTAAGTCCTTTAGAGCAAACTTGCTGAGTGGATAGCTTCATCAAAGCTGGCTGGCAGCATTGGGGTCAGAAATGAAGATGGGATTATTAAGTTCTTGAGGAGGTGACTATGAAAGTTGGCCCAGAGGGAGGCAGCCTCTTTTCATTACAAGGCTGGATGGCTGCCCAAGAAAATGTCTTTGAAGGGTATTTATTCAGATGGGAACGTGCCCAGGGCAGACACGGTAGGGTCTTGCACATGGCCTTTGGGGGGCCTCTACTAAGCCATCTTGCCCACTGGTGAAGGGCCCAGGTCCCCTGAAGCTCTATGAACTTTGCTTCTGGCTTAGTTTAGCCTAACACACCCACAACTTGGGTTTGACCCATAGTTCTAAGATTCTTACACTGATCTTAAAACTAAAGCAAGTCTTTGGAAAGAGGAAGAATTGCAGTCTTTTGCATCTTATTTAACACTACCCTACTGTCAGAGATTTTTTTTTTTTTTTTTTTTTTTTTTTTTTTTTTTGGTGTGTGTGTGTATGTGAAAACTTTTGTAGGGGTTAGAAGGGACATTTTATTTCACTCTGGGGTTCTTGTGTTTGGGTTTGAAAAAGGATACTCAGTTTTGTAGAGTTGGCTTTTACAGTGTGTGTTCTTTTCTCCAATCCCCAGAGAAGGAAACTCTGGTTAAAATACTAGGAGCATTAAAGTATTAAATGGCAGTTGATCCATTGTGCTAAAATATCTTTTCAGTAGTGTTAAAATCCATCTTCTTTGGTGTAAACTGCTCACAGAAAAACCTGTGAAGCCAAAGGGACAGTGTGGGTCTGAAAAAGAGACAGATCTTAGACTGGCTCTGTCTCCTGGGTATTTGTGAAGAGGATGCATTAGATCTGGTTTTATCGTTGTTTTTTGGGCATGTCGAAGGCATTAGATGCAGAATTATTGGGTAGGAAGGATGGGACCACCCAGGGAAAGGATGGATGCAGTCTACCTGTGAAACTAACCCACTTATCTTCCTCTATTGCCTTGGTTACAAAAAAGGTTTTTCAACATGGGTTGTTGTGAGGTTTTTTTAATGTTTGTGTTGCTGGATTTATGGTGAAATGAAGCATGTAGCTGGAATCTGAACTGTTTGAGTCACATCCTGGATCTCTCTTTGCAAACCTTGACACCTTAGTCCCCAATGGATTGTGTTAAATCCATTATGAGGATGTTATTTAAAATTGTATTATAACTGCAACCTCCACTAATTATTCAGTACTGTAGCAGCAAAGTATTATTTGTAAGAATTCGGTTATTTTTATACTTATACCCACTATAAGTCTGGCGTTCTAGTCAGTAAAATGATGCAATAAAATAAATATCATTTTCATTGTGTGTTTTTCTTGTAAAATCAAGCAAACCAGGCAGAAATAGTTTTTCCCGAGGGCATCAGGTAAACCACGGCACTCTTTATGGTGAGCCCCTACACAGGGAACCTTACACAGTGAATTCTCACATGGCAGAAGTAGGGACTCGGTATTTCTGTATCCTCCTTGCCCATCTCCGTGAGGAGACACACTTCTGATGATGGATGGATGGACGGACAGATTGGCCTAATGATAAAACGCCTGGTTCAGGTATAACACCTGCTTTTGTTTACTTTTATTTCTATGGGTTGAAAGCGTAAGTAACTGATTCAGACCCTGAAAACTTCCACCTGAGCTTCTCCCACTACCACTCCAGGCCAATTCTGTATGTCCTGGAGGAGAAGGGGAAGTAAGCACCTCTGGGCTCTGTGGTGGAGACTCCGGGGAACGTTAAGATGGGGGGCCATGGCCCTGACACTATGGTGGCGTATGAATATGGTGGCCTGGCTAGATGTACGTTAATCAGTTACTTTCTTGGGTGCCTTTCGTGGCAGGGGATGGATGAGCCCCTCAGATTCTATCCGCTCTGTGCCAGAAACCTGGCCCCAGGAGAGGCCGTTAGGGCAGCTTGGGCATAGCGGTGACCTTTGGGCAGATTAGGTTCAGACTGCGGCCCATCAGACATCCTCGAATGGGGATGACCTGCCCTCCTCTCCTGACCAGCCCCTCCCACTCCGCTTTCCTGCCCACAGGGTAATCCCCAAGGGAGATCTTCACAGGAACGCAGTACTGACCCCTTTATTGTCCTGCCCAGCTCTGCCAGATACTATAAACATCACAGGTGCCAGGAATAAGATATTTATGTTGCTTTTTATGGACCTCATAAAAGATTGCACAGTCAGAAGGCCTGGGCTCTGACAGCTGGTACAAGACTCTTTTCTAACAATTTCTAACAACCTGGCTGTTTTCCTAGGTTGTGATGTCAGGCCTAAGAGTCTGCTCAGCTCTCTGAGTATCCTAGTCAGTGAAGTGGGGATAACAATTACTGCCTCCCAGAGTTGTTGTGAGGCTTAGAGGGGAGAATTTATCTGAAAACACTGCAAACTACTAAGAACCATAACACATATTGGTTCTCTTCACGGGGGCCCTCCTGTCACACAAGAAAGACAGACAAAAGTAGGATGAGGATGTCACGTCAATGCTGATTCACCAGGAACTGGTCCTGAAGACCTTGGATGTGATTCAACTTTTTGGAAATCACTGGCATTTGGTGTTGGAAGGCAGAATGGCCAGCAGTGGGTACTGACCTGAGCGTGATAAGAAAAATGATATGTCAAAAGTAACCCTTAGTCTGGCCGGTGTGGCTCAGTGGTTGAATGTTGACCTATGGGCACATGCCTGGGTTGTGGGCTCGATCTCCAATAGGGGGCATGCAGGAGGCAGCCCATCAATGATTCTCATCATGGATGTTTCTATCTCTCTCCCTTTCCCTTCCTCTCTAAAATTGATAAAAATATATTTTTTAAAAAGTGACCCTTAGACTGAGAAGAAGTAAGATATTCAGGATTTTGAAGAGGACGCCTCTAGAGCAACCATGTCAAACTCAAAGGCTAACACGGGCCAAATAAACAAGGTTTAAGTTTATATGGGCTGCAAAATAACAAAAGCTTCAATTTTCATAGAAATGTAGGTTTATTTCGATAGAGACATGCTGAATACAAAGAGCTAAAATAAATGAGTAATTGTTAAAATAGTAGAACATTTTAATAAAAATTAATATTTTCTCTTGAACATTAACTTACCAGACACTAAATAACTGCACAAATTAATAAGCGTAGTAACGCAAATAAACCTATTTTTCTTGTTCTCTGAAAGTGAAATATTTCCTGTTGCGCACACCAAACAAGTCAGTCCAAGACTAATGATGTGCCAATCAGCTGCTAAAATATTTGCTGGTAGTATTAGTGGGGAGAAATGGTACGCCTGCATGTAAGGGAAATGAATGCAACACAATTATAGTACTAGAAATCAGTCATTATCGAACGTTGTAGTTTGTTATTAATAATTATGTATAACAGGATATTGTAAAAATTAAGTTCGAAATTTTTATTAAAACGTTTCTTACATACCGTTATATTGGCTGGGCCTCGAAAATATTCGTTGTGGGCCACAAGGAAGAAGATACAGGGAAACCTGTACAAATGAAGTGACGTGTCCCAGCACCATCTTTCTCTGTGGTAAGCATCAGTACTTAAGGTAGAACTAAAACAAGTGGAGATGATATATGTTTCAGGACATTAGAGAGGAGACCTTTTGCTTTAAACAATATGAAGTATAAATTAAAACAACACTAGGAAACATAAAATATGGAATCCTGGGAAGAGATCTTCGCCATCATTTATTCCAACCACCCTTAAGAAGCACTTAAGTTCCCTCTCATCTGAGGAGCTGTCCCAGCAACAGGGAGCTCATTTGCTTTGAGGAAGCTCCCTGCTTAACTCAATAACTCCAGCTACTAGAAAGTTCTTCCCTACTTCCAACCCAGTTATTTCCCGCTTCTTGGATAAGAGTCCTCCTGGGAGGGTCAAAGCGCTTGAAGAGGATGGAAGTACTAGATTTAGGCTAGGGCTATATGGGGACAGATTTGAGTGAAGCTAACAGGAGAGGAGGGACGGAGAGAGGGTGAGGCTGGGATGGAGGGTCTGTATGAGGGCAGTGGGCCCAGGTGCAGACAGTCACTGCGATAAGGGACACACGTTCTTCTGCTCTGGATGAGCCGCAATCAGCTTCCCAGGGACACTTGAAAAAGGTGTGAGGGGAAAGAAGTCCTTGCCCACCTCTTCGACCTTCTCCCCAGCCATCCTGCGGGCATGGTGGGGGACAGCCAAGGCTGACAAGGTGGAATGGAATGGGACAGATGACCCTGGCCATTCACACAGGCTTTCTGGATTCACATCCCCACTTACTAGCTCTGTGTGACCCTGGGCAATTTTCTATCTCTCTTTTTAATTTCTCAGGTGTAATAATACAGAATCTACCTCTTAGAGTTGTCATGAGAATGAAATGAGTCAATGTCTATACAACACTTACACCAGTACTTTACATGTAATAAGTGCTGTGTGTTTGTTAAAGGGAAAACATTTTGGAGTTCAAACTAAAGGAACCATTTCTGTAGTCACGTTTCTGTAGACGATTTCATGTACTGTTGTGTTTCTATTTTAATTATATTCCTGACAACCTCCTAAACGATGAAACAAGTTGAGAAGCACATTATAATGAAAGAGGCATTATAATGAAAGTCACTAAAAGGGTAAATCTTGAAAGTTCTCACCACAAAAAAAAAAAAAATTTTATGTGAGGTGATGGATGTTAACTAAACTTATTGTAGTAATTATTTCACTATATAAACACCTATCAAGCCATTATGTTGTATACCTAAAACTAATATGATGTTATATGTCAACTAGTGCCTCGGTGCACGGATTCGTGCACATCGAAAGGAAATTAATTAGAAGGTGGCAGGCAGGGTGGGACTGAGCAAGATGGGGCCAGACATGCCCTGGAGCCAACCTTCCGAGGCCCCTCCCCAGCCAGCCACACCTGGGGTGGCACCACGGCTCGGAGGGCATCTGTGGAGTGAGCGGGGTCCCTCCGGCAGGTGGGGGTCCCTCGGCCTGGCCTGTGGGGGTCAGGTAGAAACCAGCTCTACATTATCCCCCGAGGGGTCTCGGATTGTGAGAGGGTGGTTCTTGGGTGATGCACCCCAGAATTGGCTCTGGAGTTCATCACCCAATTATCTCCACTACCAACGCATCTGTGGAGTGAGCGGGGTCCCTCCGGCAGGTGGGGGTCCCTCGGCCTGGCCTGTGGGGGTCAGGTAGAAACCGGCTCTACATTATCCCCCGAGGGGTCCCGGATTGTGAGAGGGTGGTTCTTGGGTGACGCACCCCAGAATTGGCTCTGGAGTTCATCACCCGATTATCTCCACTACCAAACTCACTGCAGCTCAGCAGCTCCTGTGTTGAGCGTCTGCCTCCTGGTGGTCAGTATGCTTCATACCTACCAGCTGGTCGGAAGGTCAAATGGTCACTTAGCCTTTTATATATATACTAGAAGCCCGTTGCATGAAGATTTGCCCAATAGGCCTTCCTTCTCCCGGCTGCCAGCACCGGTTTTCCTCCAGCAACCGAGACCCAGGCCTTTGGTCTGGCTTCAGCAGAGAAGCCAAGCCTCAAGGCTAGGCTTCTTCCCTCCAGCCACAGCGAAACTTGGCTTCTCCGCTGCAGTCTTCAGTCTTCAGTCTTCAGTCTTCAGTCTTTAGTCTTCACTCCGGCTGGAGCCTTCAGTCTTCACATGCCTACGTATGCAAATTAACTGCCATCTTTGTTGGACTAATTTGCATAGTCATTCTGATTGGCTGGTGGGCATAGCGGAGTGACACCAATTTGCATGTTTCTCTTTTATTAGTGTAGATAGATTATATAACATTTGGGGGAGGAAATACAAGAGGAAGAAAGCAGGTGGTAAGGGTTGTAAGGAGGGGAGGAGAGAACATCTGAAATGGCTGGTTAGGAACATGGGAGGAAGCTGGTCAGGACACGGAGTATATTGGACACAGGCTGAGAACAGTGGGGTTGTGGTAGCAGCAATCCCCACATTAAATCATTTTACTCTAGCAGGGCTCAGCAGTGGGTATTAGAGCAGAGAAGGGGTCAATGGATTGACCCAAAATTGAGGTTTTGTTTGGAAGGTAGCACCAACACGAGAAGGTTCTGATGGACTTGACTGCGAGCCTCTGGGCCTCGAGGACTTGACCATGAGCCTATGGGTCTGGACTTAGAAGAGGGGAGGGTTAGGTGAAAATGAAGAGCCAACAAAGGTTAATATCTTTAATCCAAACATTTACCTAAACATCTCATGCACCTTAACTAGAACATTATGAATAACTCTTCCCTTAAAACAATAGACAAAAAATCAGGAATAGGAATTACAAATAGCCTAACAAATATATGGGGAGTGTTTA